GCATTTAGTTTTATGGGGGTAGCTTACCCCCACCCCCGAAAAGAGACAATACCCCCATATCTCCTTATCGGTAACACGTACGATGTTGAAAATGGCAGAAATGGAATCAGCACCATCGAAAACCTATAGGAGGATATTGGTTTTGGTGGAATATCTAATAAGCTTCAAAATGAAATTCAGACAATGCCTGCCAAAAGTACTTGGAACACCCACCAATTTACGCTGCAGTTGATATCTTTCATTCCTTTCATGAAAAAAATTTGCTACTTCCGCCCCCTTCCCCCTCAAACAATGTTGATGATTTAGAGAAATATCATAAAAGAAGCGCAAAAGAAAGTGCTTCCTAAAATCCTAGTCCGTTTGATAGTAAACCAACATTGTTCCGTGGGGGAGAGGGGGATGATTGGTTTTGACCTTGGAAATTGATGTCAGTGTTCCAAGACTTTTGGCAGGCATTGTCTGAAAATTTTCTCGAAAACAGCAATCTGTGATATCAAAACATTGTGCTACCCTAGGGTTTTCGATGGTGCTGATCTCACTGCTACTAATTAAAATTCGAAATTTTCACTCTTTACACAGTTAAAAGGGGGGGAGGGGGTTGGGACTCTGAACGATTGATATAGTAGATATCCGAGTATTGTTATTTGTTACAAAAAACATTCTACTGATTTTTTCCGTCATTATCATTTAAATCATTATTGAAAACAAGTATTTTGTGCAGAATTCGATCATCGGTTTAAGAAATTTATCAATTTTCAAAGGAAAAACAGTACAGTTTAGTACCTTTGAAAAAGTGTTTTTTTCTGAAAAGTCCCCTTATTTATGGTTTAATTATTGATGAAAAAACAAAAAAATTCATGAGAATGTCTGCAAACCATACATGATCTAAATAATTGCGAACAACATGCTGGTGAGAAACTGTTCAAATGGCTCAATTTTATCCACCATAACCCTCCCAAAACCATCTACGAATTTAATAAATTTGCTTAGGCTATGCTCCTTCGCATTCACATGTGGCAACATGGTAGCGCTCATAGACACCCCATTCCCTATTATTTTCTATCTTCCCTTGTCCCAATAATTGGAAAATGGTTCGTGCCAATTATAATTGTTCGTTTTCCATTGTTAAAGTATGCTAGGAATTGAAAGAACGCTCCTTTCCTAATGGGCACGTGATGTAGTATGAAAATGCCTATTGCCAATGGTTACCAACGGTCTACAGCCACGGTCTACACATTTAAAATGTTTATAAAAATCGTATTTTTCAAAGAAAGTAGACGAAACCTCGTCAGTAGGTGTGCATGGCTAGTATAAAAAATATTGTAGGTTTTCAGATCGATACAAGTTGTAAAACTGAAGAAATTCAGGAAAGTGTCAACGGTCTACACTTTCTGAGAATTGAATTTGAAGTACTCTAGATCTTATTCTCCTTTTGAGTGTAGACCGTGGGATTTTCGTCATATTTTGCCGTTTTCTTCATGGAATTCATACAAAGGTTAATTTTATCTTTGAGGGGTATTATTATACACCTTTTGGGTGATTTTGGGGCAAACCTCCCCCTGACAAGTCAGAAAATTGCGAAGAAACAGCCACGGTCTACACAACGGTCTACAAGCGTTCATTTCCGAGGGTGAGAGTTGCCTTGCGGGGCCTTGTCCTTCACATCGACGCGCGCTACATTCGATGAAATAAGATATTTTGTTATGGCAAATGTCAAGCAAACATATACAGCAATCAATTAACGATGAAATAATCTGCCTTGCGCTTTATGAAGATAAATATAGCAGGTAGAGTCTAACTTAAAGGCCATTTTGGCAATGCAGTAACAGTAGGGAAGAGGGCTTTCTTTGTAGTGCTTCTGGGCCAAGCATTTAGGAGGGCAGGAAGGCGAGTGGATGTCAGTTTTATTTCAGTTCCCTTACCAACCAACATGGAATAGTAGATCAATCAGTTGGGAACTCTGATGTGGGAAACACGGGGTTCCTTTCTACAATTTAGGTAAACACTCTGAAATTTGTCATTTGGGCACTGAATTGCACAACAAGGGCCTATATGAATGACAACTTGTAAACCCGTGATAAAAGGAGAGCAACTACCCGACATAATTCTCAAATACGACCATATCTATAATTAGAAACATGAAACAGAGGAATCGATGTCACTTTTATAAAATTGCATCCTTTCCATTTTTAGATTATTTTCTAGCTGCCACTCATATTTGTCTCCTTCATCTATCCCATTATTTCTTAGACAGCCATCTGGCTACGAGCCTTTGAAAAGATTCAAAATACAATCTTGATCCTATTTATTGGAAATCGATTTTGATTTTAGCAATTTTCACCTTAATTGAAATATGGCATTTAGTTTTATGGGGGTAGCTTACCCCCACCCCGAAAAATAACAATACCCCCATATCTCCTTATCGGTAACACGTACGATGTTGAAAATGGCAGAAATGGAATCAGCACCATCAAAAACCTATAGGAGGATATTGGTTTTGGTGGAATATCTAATAAGCTTCAAAATGAAATTCAGACAATGCCTGCCAAAAGTACTTGGAACACCCACCAATTTACGCTGCATTTGATATCTTTCATTCCTTTCATGAAAAAAATTTGCTACTTCCGCCCCCTTCCCCCTCAAACAATGTTGATGATTTAGAGAAATATCATAAAAGAAGCGCAAAAGAAAGTGCCTTCTAAAATCCTAGTCCGTTTGATAGTAAACCAACATTGTTCCGTGGGGGAGAGGGGGATGATTGGTTTTGACCTTGGAAATTGATGTCAGTGTTCCAAGACTTTTGGCAGGCATTGTCTGAAAATTTTCTCGAAAACAGCAATCTGCGATATCAAAACATTGTGCTACCCTAGGGTTTTCGATGGTGCTGATCTCACTGCTACTAATTAAAATTCGAAATTTTCACTCTTTACACAGTTAAAAGGGGGGGAGGGGGTTGGGACTCTGAACGATTGATATAGTAGATATCCGAGTATTGTTATTTGTTACAAAAAACATTCTACTGATTTTTTCCGTCAATATCATTTAAATCATTATTGAAAACAAGTATTTTGTGCAGAATTCGATCATCGGTTTAAGAAATTTATCAATTTTCAAAGGAAAAACAGTACAGTTTAGTACCTTTGAAAAAGTGTTTTTTTCTGAAAAGTCCCCTTATTTATGGTTTAATTATTGATGAAAAAACAAAAAAATTCATGAGAATGTCTACAAACCATGCATGATCTAAATAATTGCGAACAACATGCTGGTGAGAAACTGTTCAAATGGCTCAATTTTATCCACCATAACCCTCCCAAAACCATCTACGAATTTAATAAATTTGCTTAGGCTATGCTCCTTCGCATTCACATGTGGCAACATGGTAGCGCTCATAGACACCCCATTCCCTATTATTTTCTATCTTCCCTTGTCCCAGTAATTGGAAAATGGTTTGTGCCAATTATAATTGTTCGTTTTCCATTGTTAAAGTATGCTAGGAATTGAAAGAACGCTCCTTTCCTATTGGGCACGTGATGTAGTATGAAAATGCCTATTGCCAATGGTTACCAACGGTCTACAGCCACGGTCTACACATTTAAAATGTTCATAAAAATCGTATTTTTCAAAGAAAGTAGACGAAACCTCGTCAGTAGGTGTGCATGGCTAGTATAAAAATATTGTAGGTTTTCAGATCGATACAAGTTGTAAAACTGAAGAAATTCAGGAAAGTGTCAACGGTCTACACTTTCTGAGAATTGAATTTGAAGTACTCTAGATCTTATTCTCCTTTTGAGTGTAGACCGTGGGATTTTCGTCATATTTTGCCGTTTTCTTCATGGAATTCATACAAAGGTTAATTTTATCTTTGAGGGGTATTATTATACACCTTTTGGGTGATTTTGGGGGCAAACCTCCCCCTGACAAGTCAGAAAATTGCAAAGAAACAGCCACGGTCTACACAACGGTCTACAAGCGTTCATTTCCGAGGGTGAGAGTTGCCTTGCGGGGCCTTGTCCTTCACATCGACGCGCGCTACATTCGATGAAATAAGATATTTTGTTATGGCAAATGTCAAGCAAACATATACAGCAATCAATTAACGATGAAATAATCTGCCTTGCGCTTTATGAAGATAAATATAGCAGGTAGAGTCTAACTTAAAGGCCATTTTGGCAATGCAGTAACAGTAGGGAAGAGGGCTTTCTTTGTAGTGCTTCTGGGCCAAGCATTTAGGAGCGCAGGAAGGCGAGTGGATGTCAGTTTTATTTCAGTTCCCTTACCAACCGACATGGAATAGTAGATCAATCAGTTGGGAACTCTGATGTGGGAAACACGGGGTTCCTTTCTACAATTTAGGTAAACACTCTGAAATTTGTCATTTGGGCACTGAATTGCACAACAAGGGCCTATATGAATGGCAACTTGTAAATCCGTGATAAAAGGAGAGCAACTACCCGACATAATTCTCAAATACGACCTTATCTATAATTAGAAACATGAAACAGAGGAATCGATGTCACTTTTATAAAATTGCATCCTTTCCATTTTTAGATTATTTTCTAGCTGCCACTCATATTTGTCTCCTTCATCTATCCCATTATTTCTTAGACAGCCATCTAGCTACGAGCCTTTGAAAAGATTCAAAATACAATCTTGATCCTATTTATTGGAAATCGATTTTGATTTTAGCAATTTTAACCTTAATTGAAATATGGCATTTAGTTTTATGGGGGTAGCTTACCCCCACCCCCGAAAAAAGACAATACCCCCATATCTCCTTATCGGTAACACGTACGATGTTGAAAATGGCAGAAATGGAATCAGCACCATCAAAAACCTATAGGAGGATATTGGTTTTGGTGGTATATCTAATAAGCTTCAAAATGAAATTCAGACAATGCCTGCCAAAAGTACTTGGAACACCCACCAATTTACGCTGCATTTGATATCTTTCATTCCTTTCATGAAAAAAATTTGCTACTTCCGCCCCCTTCCCCCTCAAACAATGTTGATGATTTAGAGAAATATCATAAAAGAAGCGCAAAAGAAAGTGCTTCCTAAAATCCTAATCCGTTTGATAGTAAACCAACATTGTTCCGTGGGGGAGAGGGGGATGATTGGTTTTGACCTTGGAAATTGATGTCAGTGTTCCAAGACTTTTGGCAGGCATTGTATGTAGACCTTTCTGAGGGTTCGAGTTGTGGAAATTGTGCCTAAACATACTGTATTTTGAATTATTCACATTAGGTAAATTCCATTAGAAAACAGAAAAGGAAATGAAAAAAAGGAAGAAAGTCTCGAGTCCCCAGTACAACCACTGTGTGGCAAATTCAAAAGGTCCAAACATATGACCATATGATGTTCTATCACTAAGGTACATCTAAATAAAAGCTACAAAATTGTAAAGTATATAATCTTTATTTATCATGAAATGAATTGAGGCTTCATTTGAGGTGGTATTAATGAAAAATACAGGAATCAATATAGTCCTTTGAGAGAATTAGTTTATTCTGCGTCATTGTTTTCCCACTGTGCCTCAACTACACGCGGTAGAATTGTTCAACTCGTCATTAATGTACGTTAGCACACTTAGTACATCAGATAAAGGACTTTTAACTGTACCTGGCAGCATTAAACATATTGGCCAAAGTAATTAGAAATACTCTTTCCTTTTACTGCTGTCATTAATGACTAGCTGACGTTGTACTTAAATAACTCTCCGGAAATCTCTTAGTTCTGAACCAACGATTAATTTACTTTCTTAATCTGTATAAGATGCAACTCTAAAACGATAGAAGCATTTCCACCTTCGATTGGAAAGAAAAGTCCCGGGCAAAGTTGCCTCATTAAAATTATGATGCATTGTAAGGGCGTAGATCAGTCGCTGAAAAGTGTTTCCCGAATGGCTGATAAGCAGAAAGTTATCATTGGTTTAAGAAAAATACACACTTTTCTATAAAAATACCAAATATTTTGTTGAGCATGTATGTTCTCAACTTTTTTAATTATGAGCCTAAGATTATTCTTAAATAAGTCTTAAGCGACACAATGTGTAAATTCGCCTGAAGATCAGAGAAAAAATCAAATCTTTGTTGATGAGTTACGTCATTAAAAAGACAGTACAGGACAGTACAGGACAGTACAGGACAGTACAGGACAGTACAGGACAGTACAGGACAGTACAGGACAGTACAGGACAGTACAGGACAGTACAGGACAGTACAGGACAGGACAGGACAGGACAGGACAGGACAGGACAGGACAGGACAGGACAGGACAGGACAGGACAGGACAGGACAGGACAGGACAGGACGGACAGGACAGGACAGGACAGGACAGGACAGGACAGGACAGGACAGGACAGGACAGGACAGGACAGGACAGGACAAGACAATAAATATAGAACAATTACTATAAAACTAAATCTGATAGGACCACCTCAATTCTGTCGATTTTAGCAGCTCCTACGTAGTTTTCGGTATCATCTGCAAAAATTACTCTGTATTTAGCAAGAGTTATGTTCCAGCACTCCAAGGCCACATACGTCTATTTCAAAACACATTGCGCATAACTCTCATTGTTTTGCTCTCCAAAAACTTAAATTAACAAAAAAATTAATTTCTGATCAAGCTTTAGCCTTGCATTTTTCATATATTATACTAAATTTCCAGAGATTTTCAGCCTTAATATTCCTATAGACTATATTCATTTAACACAGTGCGTATGCTGCCTTTGATATGCGCTGCTTAACAAAGATATCAACACGGTAGTCCATTTCTTGGAAGGGCAACAAACTTGACATGAGAAGCAAGCTTTTAAAAATGAAACACCATTTAAATTCTTATCATTAAAGCTAAATCATTTCAATATAGATGTCTAATTATTTTCAGCTAAAGTACATTTTCTCGCTATCACGATTTCCACCGTAATTACCACGTCCTCTTCCTCCCCGAGGCCCCCCTCTACCGCCCCATCCGCCTCCTCGACCACTCTGCCCACCACCACCGCCACCACTGCCACCACCGCCACCACTGCCACCACCGCCACCACCGCCACCGCCACCTCCTCCATAGCCACCTCTACCACCGTGTCCTCCTCTGCCGCCGTGTCCTCCTCGATCGTTTCTCCAACCTTCCGAGGAAATATAGTAGCAAATGAGACAACCATCTAATTCTATGCATAAAGCATTTTTACTCAACTTATGGTTTTTACTTTCAAAAATCATTCAAGGAAAGCTGAAAAAAAGAAAGAGCAAATAACAGCAAAGCGGCGTGACTGTACACAGAATTGGGCGAAAAAAATGGCCAGAGACTTATTGAAACTATCGATTGTTGTAAAACACATTGTTGAATATCAGAGCAACAAAACAAAATAAAAACTTAGTATCTGAGTTCAGTACATTACATTATTATTTATTTTGAATTTAAAAGTCCAAAGAAATTGTCTTAATAAGAACATCGTGTTAAAATGGAACAGAAGGCCAAAATTACGAAATTTCCTTAACATTTCCTCAGAATCTTAATTTTCTTCAAAGTGGAAGCACTGGTAGCAATCTATGGCATCATTGATGATAACGAATTTAAACAGCAAGAAGCATGCAGCAATTTCCTGATGAGAATTTTCTGTCTTTCTTCCAATTCCTAGTTGACTGATAAATTGAGATTGAAATCGTTGAATAACCTTTACTGCAGATACATAGAACTTTGCTTCTAAATTCTAAAGAACAGGGTGCTTCTAAATTGCTACTCCGAGTTTCACGCTGAATACAATAATCAGGCAACGTGTACAGCTCTGCCTATACAGCATCAAGCACCTTATGAAAGCCCGGTAAACAGTTATTTTCATTATGAAAAAGCTGCTTATGAAAGGGCTTTTTGAGTTGCGGCAAGAATAGCCAAAACATGATATTCGATTGCAGTCCCAGGATAGGGAAGCTTCACTTGGCAGCTATCAAGCATCACAGAATAATTGGCTGCGTAAAATTTTATGGATAATGCCGGTGCTATTTTTAATATTTTTCTTACCTTGGCCTCGCTGTGGCTCTGTTCGTTTTCTAAATGCTGGCATTTCTGGAGCCGGTGCTTCTGACGATGGTCGTCCTCCTCGATCGGGAACCTAAAAATTAAAATATGCTCAACATCATGATCACATTTGTGTTTTCATATGAAGGGCTTGAAATTGAACCACAATTTATCAGAGAAGATATCTATTATGTTATATTGTACACGTAATGTCTGGTCATGCATAGGCCATGCTATTGAATTATCATTCCGTATAGCAGTATATAAGTCTCAACAGAGGAAGCAACGAGCTGCAATCGCTAAACGAAGCAAATTTATACCTTTCCAATCAGGATTTTGTTAATGTCACATTTTGTTACTTCTCTCGCTTCACCTGAACTTGTCTTTTCCAACTTACACAAATCTTGTAAAAATAAAAACATAAATTTGAACCGAAACATGTACAGATAAGCATAACTTATGAAAATTAAGAGAAGGATCATGCATATCTTTGCCTAATAGTATCCTCGCTGCAGTCATTCAAGCAGCCACAATTTTGCGAAGTGAAGGTCTTTAAAATGGCTTAGAAAAAAGCAGACATTTTTAATCATGCCAAAGCTTTTCATCTGACACTCAAGAGTATACAATTTCAGGACAAAACTCTACGAAAAATAAATATAGCCAATAGGAAACGTGAGCACATGACTGTCGAGGTTGCTCAATCAGTGTCACGTGCCCATTATTCAAAATGTTTGCTTTTTAAAAGAAATTTAAATTTTGTACCGCATAAAGATGTTCAATTCGAAAGCTAGCAAAAATGAACTGTGCTTCAAATTTGAATCAGGATGTTCTATCAAGACATCAAGACAAATCGAGTTCTTAATTTCTTCAAAATTAATTTGCTTGTTCAATTAGCTCCTAGCAGGTCAGAACATAACAACTAAAACTGGAGAACAAATTTTTAAAACATGTTACAACATATGAGAAAGGTTTTACTTTTGGCTCACTTAAAATATTACGTCTTTAAGAATGCTAGAGTTGAACTAAGGATACCTTTTCGAGCTGCCAATACATCAGCAACAGCAACATTTGTCCCTGCAGCTATCAAATTTCTAACTGACCGGAAAGAGGCTTGGATATCATTTTTCTTTGCCTGTGAAAGTTTGTGTTCATGCATTTAAATTTAAGATATAAGAGCTGCAGAATGAAGTACAAAAAATACCAAATAAACGAGAAGGCCAGCTGGGCCAAGAGGCACAAGTTACCTTTAAAAACGGCGTTGAAAAAAGTAAACATTTTGAAACATAATTTGCTGTAAATCCTCGTGTTGTTCACAGTACAAAAACAGTCCTTCCATGTGCCCAAAAAGGGTTTCTCAAACCCAAAGATCGGGGGATAACAAAACATAATGTTTCTTACACCAAGAGAAAGAACCCTCAAGAGAACAGCATCCTCGTTCTTGCAGATCAAAATACTGTGCATAAAACTCTAATGGCAACATGTTTCGGATTATTGACAACGCCCGATCGTCGCTCTATCTAGCATTTTTAGAAGGCTTATTGTATTTTGCGAAAATTTTCGCATAATGCGAAAATGCGAAATTTCGCAAAATACAAGTTTCGAGGTGGTATTTTGTAAAATGCGAAAACTTATTCTAAAAACTTTATTTGCCCATATCAACGACCGAAAACAAGCAATTCATATTCAGGGCGACTCTGTTCATGCAAATAGCCTAGTTCATGTCCCATTTAACGTTAGATAACTCATGGACACATTTTGGAAAATGGTTCAAAAACCAACCACACTAAGGCCATGAACGGCCTAATTGTGAATTGCCCATTCCAGCGAAAGACGATAACAGTAAGTATCCCGGTGCTTGCTAATTGGTAATTGGTAAATACCCAACATTCTGCGTGTTCTGTGTTGTTTTAGGAGTAATTTACGCCTTTATCCACAAGGCCTATTTTCCTGTTTCCTTCCCGGTGAAACCCGCGTGGCTGGAAAAGGACGGGGGTGATGTCAAAAGATTTTCGCAAAATACAAAATGGCTGGGGGTTTTTGTATTTTGCGAAAACTCGCCAAACATTGTCGAAATGTTAGTTTTTATTTGAGAAAATGTACGGAAAGGCTTTGGACTGTATTTAAAATTTTGTTTTTTGAGTAGGCATCAAAAGATTCGATCCAATTAAAGAATTTTCGCAAAATACAAAATGGCTAGGGGCTTTTGTATTTTGCGAAAACTCGCCCAACATTGTCGAAATGCTAGTTTTTATTTGAATAAATGTACGGTAAGGCTTTAGAAAGAGGCTTTGGGTTTTTTGATAGTGTAGCAGGAACCTACAACAAAAAGGTGCATGCATTTTCTTTGGCGCCAGACAATGACTCACTTCTTAAAAGAAATTAGCAGGACGCCCATTATTTGTGTCATCAACGTGTGAAGACTTCCCTCTTCTCATTCATAATGACATTTTTTCTTTTGTTCTACTTCCTGGGTGCCTATTTGTGCCAATCTGGTGACATTCCATGTGATTGAATTTTATCGGTTGGGCGAGTTTTCGCAAAA